GAAAAGCAGGCATATTCAAGGAACAAAGTAAACATTTTTGTCAGTGATGTGCGGTGAGGTTTATGGCTGGTGAGGCACTGACACAGTCGTGGGTTTCAAATTTTTTTAGACTTGTGGACTCAACTCCCAGAATTCCACAGCCAGGCATGCTCAGTTCTGATTTAAAGCAACAGCATTTGTTTTTCTCCTTTGCAAAAAAGTTTCCCTCATTCTTTTTCTTCTCCCCCTCCTTTCTCCCTCTCTCCCTCCCTCCCCCCTCTCTCAAACAGACACACGCACACAGGGAAGTTGGATTGAACTATCTCTCCTACCCCCTTCCCTCTCTCACTCACTCTCTCTCAAACAAACACAAGTTTTATCCAGCTGTGTGTGTGTGTGTGTGTGTGTGTGTGTGTGTTTTTGAAAAGGCAACGTGGCTCTGCCTGCAATCAAACTACACTTGGGGAGGGATCTACACTTGAGGATGAAGTTTGAATTCCTCCACCTCCCTCCGACCCACACGTACCTTTTCCAGCTGTTTCAGAGAGGACTTCAACTCTGCTCTTGCCTGTCATCATGAGAAGAAAAAAAATGTAAAAGGAAAAATGCAAGAGCTGAGGTCAGGCTAGTTGCTGCCAGAGTCACCGTGGATGACTCTGCTTAACTGTTTAAAAAAGCCCCTAAAAAGCGCCCTCTGCAGGAGGCAGGAGAATGACGTGCCTCACCTACATCAGGAATTTTTAGGCTTTTAACCCTTGCTTAACTCTGCTCGAGTGATCATAAAACGCCTAAAGTCAGACTAGATGAGGCACGTCGTTCTCCTGTCTCCTCCTGTAGAGGGCGTTTTTTTAGAGGCTTTTTTAAACAGTTAAGCAGAGTCATCCATGGTGACTGGCAGCAACTAGTTCAGCCTGACCTCAGCTCTAGCCTTTTTCCTTTTACATTTTTTTTCTTTTCATGATGACAGTGGTGAGGCTCTGCCTCCCCTGCGTCCCCTAACTGCACGTCCCTGATTTTTGAAAAGTGCTGATGACACAGTGCTAAATTCCTAGTGCAGTGGCCCCCAACCTTTTAGGTGCCAGGGTCTGGTCCTGTGGAGAAAGTTTTTCCATGGACCAGAGGGGACGTGGTTTTGTGTGCTGCCTGCATCCCGCGGATGGGGCTTTGCTTGCTTGCACAGCCCGGTTTCTGGCATGCCACATCCTGGTTAAGGGCCATGGACCGAGGATTGGGGAGCCCTGTCCTAGTAGATTCAATATACAGCTACAATAGTCAGTGGGGTACTGACATTCCCCAAATGTTGATTTTTATCTCTTTAGAGAATTTAACAAAATATGGTATACAGATGTGCCCTTGCATGCACACAGACAAAAAACAACAACTGTCAAGAACTAGGAGAGGGGTAAAATAGTTCTGACATTTCAGGTGACATTTGCAGTCCATAATTTGAACTGCCACTGCAATTGGAAGCAGTTCATTCCAGATCCAGATGTGTCTCTCTCTTCTCCTGTTTCTTCAAGGAAATAAAATTCAATCATAATTATGAACCACTTGTTTTCAATTATCTAATATGATGGGATACTAATTAAATAGGCATAAGAAATAATCAAGCCCTGGGGAACTTTGTGAGGATTCAGTGGGAACTCTTTTTTTAAAAAAACAAGACTATATTTCTGCACAGCTGGGAAAAGGAAAATATAAGACTTTGTGATGGCCAACAGAGAATCTGATCATATTTTGTACTATTGCTGGCCAGCCATATTCCACAGCTATCTGCAGTCACACACAGATATATCTCCGTTTACTGGATAATGATGATGGATTGAGGGGAAGAAAAAATAGAGCAGAGCACAAGAAAACTATTAGAGAAGAGAAAGGAAACAGAGTAATTATCATGCAGGTCAAGAGATTGGTTTGGGGGTTTTATATCCCATCAGATTGCATCTGTAGATGTGCTAAATATGTTACATGAGTCCAATGCTGAAAATCTATAATTCTATTATCTTTAGAGCAGGCTCAGGGGCTGGATCTGGCCCACGGGGTGCTTAGATTGGGAACGCTGGGCTGAACTGTAAACAGATAAAGTTTGGTCTGCAGGAGAGCTCCGTTTTTGGCTGGGACAGCCTCCTGCCAGTAAAAACGGAGCTCGAGGGGACTCCATTTTTGCTGGCAGATGGCTATAGGAGGCTGTCCTGGCCAAAACCAGAGCTCACAAGGGCCACATGCAGCCCCCCCCCCCAAGTTCTGTTTTTGCTGGCAGAGGGCTGTAGGAGGCAGTCCCATCTGAAATTAGAACTCAGGAGCCTGTTTTTGCTGGCAGACAGGCATCCCTGACATGAGTGATGTGAAGCTGGCCATGCCCGCCCTGCCCAACCCCACCCTCACCCCCAGGTCAAACACAACCCTGATGCGGTCCTCAATGAAATTGAGTTTGACACCCCTGCTTTAGAAGGACACATGACAAATAGCCATAGAAATCTGCTACTTAAGGCTTTAATCCAAAAATAACATCAACATTGTTTTAAGAGAGAAGCCATTTGAAGAACCGATAGACAGATATTTGATTATATCAATATAAAATTTGATCAGTCAGGAAACATATGATGCATGTTCCTCTTTTATGTTACTTTTCTTCATTATTCTATTTTTCCTCCCCAGAGTGTTTATCTGATAATTCCCGCTGGTGCTTGCAGTTTCCCCATACTGTCAAATAAAATGTGATTCATTATTCCAGGAATCCCCCATTGGAATGTCTTGAAATAAGGGAGATAAAAGGAAACTTTGTTCACTGGGATTGCTCAGAAACATTCAAGACGATGAGATGAATAGGCAGTTATGGGGAAATAATTAGAAAAGAAGAGTTAGGATAGAGGAGAAATAGAATGGCACATCAGGAAATGAATAGCACTTCAATCACAGAAATGAAATGCACAGACCAGCTAAAGCAGCAAATGGGCTTTCAAATACAGTTAATGTTTGTCATTTCATAGACAAGTGTATTCCACACATGTCAACTGCTGAGCATCTGTGGACCTCAGAATCACAAGCTGACAAAATAACAAGAGGACAAACAAACCAATAAAAAGCATATCATTTCCTGTCATTCCAGGATTATGCATCCATGTTCTCACACATATTATGAATGTTATGCTACATTCCTTCAGAAGAAATATCCCCACCACTTCACAGATGAAATAAACTCCACTGAAGATTCTGACACCATCATTATATTCTAGAATATCCTCTGATAATCCTCTGATAATTTCTGACACCCTTCAAAGTAATTGTCCTGGCCTGTTTGGAGGGAAATGTATGTGTGTGCATATGTGTGTTACACAAAAGAATATATATCTCTTACAATGATGCTGCAATAACTCAATAAATGCCAAGGTTGGACTGTAAACTGATTTTTATAGGCAAAATTTCAGGCATGAAGATAAAAGCATGATAATAGGCAAACAACTGTTTCCATTTTATTTAGAAAATTAGCCATGTGTTATCATCAAAACTATATAGTTTCAAATTTTAAGTAATATCTCGAGATATAATTCTACATTAACTGAAAAATTTTCTATTAATACTTTCCAAAAGAATGATTGCATCAGTGCTTCCCAGTAAAAGGAACCAAAAGACTTTGGGCAACTCAAATCCTAATTTATTTGGCAAGAAGGTTTTATAAGAGTTAACTTTTCATGATCTGTAAAAGAGAAGCAGATTTTTCTTAATCCTGGAATTATTCCAATGGTGTTTGTGGAATAATACTCTGTAGAACTATATTTATATAGTTTATATGCTTAGCTCAGAGATGGTATTCAGCAGGTTCTGACCAGTTCTGGAGAACCGGTAGCGGAAATTTTGAGTAGTTCGGAGAACTAGTAAATGCCACCTTTGACTGGTCCCTCTCCCATCTATTCTCTACCTCCTGAGTCCTGGAGTTGGGAGAGAATGGGGATTTTACAGTATCCTTCCCCTGCCATGCCCACCAAGCCACACCCACCAAGCCATGTCACGCCCACCAAACCATGCCCACAGAACCAGTAGTAAAAAATTTGAATCCCACCACTGGCTTAGCTCAATAGTTTGGTAAAAGGATCTCAAGCCAATTTATCATCCAATTCTCATGTAATGCTCTTCCCCCTACTGTGAAGAAAGGCACATTGCCTCTTTATACAGTGAATCCAGAGTTGACCTCCGTGGATTTGTTTTCTATGAGTCAATTTACCTCTGGAGAAAAAACAGGAAAAAAAAGGAAGAATACTGCACTATTTTAAATGCTCCCTGTCTACTCCAAAAATTAAGGAATTGTTACTTACTTTCAAAGTAGGTACTAGATCAAGAACTAGAAATGTAGTTTTAATTAAAACTCAGAAAGGTAAGTTGTCTTATCAAGTACCCATGCTTAACAATGTGCCTTCAAGACTCTGTCAACTCTTAACACCGCATAGATTGATTTTCTCCATGATGGTCTGTCCCTATTCTGATCCTTCTGGTCTTCCATTGCTACTGTAACTGAATCCACCCACCTGGCTGTTGATCATTCTTGTCTTCTCTTTCCTTCCATGGGCACCCATAGAGTTGTAAAACAGTGCCTTGGGAAGAAGAGAAAATATGAGAACCTAACAATTGAAAAAAATTGATGCTATGGGATGGATCTCTTCAGCTAGAAATCAGGACAAAGTCTAAACATTCTCTTAAGCTTTTCCCTGCCTCAGTTATAATTCCACTTCAAGATTTTGAAGGAACTGTTAGCTACTGCATAATTATTAGTTTTTAAATTGTAACTTGAGACTTATTCTTGTTGTGCCATATCCATCATCGGACGTTGGCGATCATGTTAGCAATCCTATTTTTGTCAACAGCCACATGAAAAAGTGCTGTTGAGTTTTGTCCAAACCAGTCCCTTAGATTTTGAAGCCATGATGATCTTCTTCCTGGACCTGGTTTGCCTTCAATCTTTCCCTGGAGGATTAATTGAAGGATGCTGTATTTTTCTGGATATCGCATCACATGTCCAAAATATTCTAACTTTCGCTTTTTAATGGCTTTGATGATTTCCCTTTGCTTTCCCAGGCGGCTAGGCATTTGAAAAGCCCAACATTTTTCCAGCCCCATTGTATAGTGAATTAACCCACTTTTTTTTTTTTGGGGGGGGGGGGGGAGACTGTACTGCTTATATAATCCCAAAGAAATCCCCACAATTTACAGAAAGAATACCAAGCTTTCCTTACTGAAAACAAACAAACAAACCCTGGCTAGCCCAAATGCCTTTGTATGCTAAAAAAAACCTGTGCAGTTGGTTTTTATAAACAGAAAATAAAGAGCTTTCGAAAATCATGCATTCAGCTCAGAGATTTAAAAAGATCTTCAAAGTACTTTCCTTTTTTTATTAAAAATGACAATATATTTTGGTTTTGATGGCTAACCATTTACCAATGCTATACTGAGCACTAAACTGCACAATGTTTGCATCTCTGTTCATTTACTATTACTATAACATTGTATCCTTTTTTTATATTTGTCCATTCTCTTGTTTAAAAAAACGATTAATTAAAAAAAGAGCTTAAAGGCAAGAAAGCCACTACAGTCAACATATAATTGCAACTCCAGGTTTCTTCACTTTTGTCACCTGCAAACAGACTAGAGTTATGCAAAATTTCATTTTGAATCATTTCATCTTCACAAATTTTCCCAATTTGAATGTTAATCCGTTCTTACTGGGTGGTTTTTTTTTAAATACAAATCTGGTTGTTTTGAGAATTCTGAAAATATTTTAAGGTCAAAAGAATTGTTTAGAGCTCGAATCAGTTCCAAATTACTCAAAACAGCCTATTTCAAACTTGTGGTAAGGAGAATTTGATACTTAAAATACTTTGGATTGAAATGTTTTACACACCACTACACATGGACCTGCTACACCGAATTCTAGGGCCCACTGTCACACACAGAGACTGGGAATGCAAAAGTAAGCAACAGACAGAAAGAAAGCTGTCGAGATTACTCTGAAATACATCAAGCTGGAAAAATGATCATGCTCTTTTGTCATAGCTGTTTCTGACCCAGAACAGCAAAGCGCTCCAAACATCTTGATCAGAGATTATTCCACCTTTCTGGGAACCTTCCAGCCGCAGCTCATGGCTTTGACCACAGTGCTATAGAGCTTTATCCAGGCTTCTCGCACATTCATCTTGAAGGCAGGACCATGGCATTTCTCCAGCATATACAGCAAGGAGTCTCCTACAGCCTGCAAATCATAAAGAAGATTACAGAGTTAGTGTTCGAACAGCAGACATCTCAAGACAAGGATAATTTATTAATATTGGAAAGAAATGATGGTTTACAACAGAAACATGGTACTTAAAAAGAAAGGTCAGCTCCCCTCCACCTGCTACGACTTTTCTTGCTGCTATCCATCACTGAAAAGTAATGCCCAATCTATAAATATAAAATACAACTTTGCTAACTATACTCATACAAATGAACTGTGTTTTGTTGCCAAATGCATCAGTGATTGTATTTTGAACAGAGGGAACTGCATTAGGGCAGTTATCTCACTGCCCTGCACAACTTGAGAACTTTTAGCCTCTAAACAGAGATATATTTACTAAACTACACCTGCAAACATAAGAATCATTGAAAAGCAAATCCACTATTTATCTCCAAATATGAAATAAAAGACACATTCCCAGATTTTATCTGTTAGCTGCAACTTATGAATAGAAGATCCCACCTACATCCTGTTTATATATTGATTCCTTTCTTAGCTAGTTTTTTTGTTAATTATTTTAAATGTTTCCATGTTCTAATTGTTTTATATTCTTGTTTTATGAAATTGTAAGCCACCAGAGTCACTCAAAAGTGAGATGAGTGATATATGAATTTTATAAAGAATAGAATAAAACAGAACAGAACAGAATAGAATTGTATGCAAAATACCATCCCTCTTAGCAACAGCAGTTTTGATAATCCCAGTTGTGATCATTAGGCAAGAACTGCACTGTCCTTAGGCAAGAACCTCATGCTTCTGCTCTGCACACTTGCCTCCACATCAACTCCCCCCCCCCATCTTCCTATCTCCTCCCCATCTCTGCCCATTTGGCCACCCAGCACTCCATCTACCCCTGCCAGTCTTCACTGCTCCCAGCTGATCTGCATGGTCTTCTTCCTCCCACTTGGCTGAGGCAGTTCCTTATCCTTGAGAGCCTCAACCAGCCACATCTCATTAGGAGCAGATGAAGAGGTCAGCTGAGGATGACAGGAGTAGATGGCGGCATGCAGGATAGCCAAAAGAACAACGATGGGGGAAAATAGGTGGGGAGGAGGAATTGAAATGCATGTTGCAGCCATAAATGCAGATAGGCTGCCAATAATCTTAACATAATTCCATGGATGTTGCAAAGGGCCATAACTTTGAGAATTGGTTGTAACTACTATTTGTCCAGTGCTGCCATAACTTCAAACACTTGCTCAGTGAATGTTAACTGAGTGAGGACTGTCTGTAATGTGGAATGGGACAATGAGTTGACCACAGCCAACTCACCAGACCATCTCGCCTTGGTCAACTTGCCATGGGATAACTCTCCATCATCAACTCGCCATGGGACAACTTACCACGGAAAATTTCATGCAGGATAACTCAACAGAATAAATGTTACCTACCACTGTTTCTTTGACATTATTTCCATTTTTGCCAATAATATTTATTGCATTGAGTTATCCCGCATGGAATTGTCTACTGCAGCGAGTTTACTGTGGAAAAAGCAAGGCACAGCATACCTGCTGTAAGTGCTTACCTCAAAGGACTCAACCTTCACCCCAACTGCTTGGTGTTTCCTGCCAAGATTAGAGAGGTAGTCCTCCAGGCAGTGCAAATTCTCCAAATGAGTTACAGCTGCATCAATTACCAGCATTACCTACCAAGGAGAAAAGATACTATAATAAAAAACCAGAAATCTGGGATTCTATTTTGGATGACTGTGTCCTTTTCTAAAAATCCTTCTGCAAACATTACAAGCAAAGGTTGCTTACTATTCACCATAGTGCAAGAACCACCACCACAGGGACAAAAAGCATATTTGAAGGAAATCTGTATCTTCCTACTGATTTTTCCTTCCTCCTTCAATTATTTATTTATTATAGTATTTGTTGAATTTATATCCCATCACCATTTCACAAGTCGTGGTGGGTTATATGACATGTAAAACAATTTTTTTTAACATCTAGGGTTTGATTTTTTTAAAAAAATTCAAATCAAGAATTTAATGACCAAAATACAGCAGAAAAATAGATGGTCACTTCTCTGGCCATTCCTCACAATAGCTAGAAGGAGGAGGAGTTCAAAGTATATGTGACAGAAGACAATCTAAACACCTCTTCTTATCCACCGCTTCAAGGTTCACAAACTAGGAGTTCCAGATAACATGCAATATGGTGGCTTAGCCAAAAGATTATTACCAAACATTATCTGCAGATGTAGAAAATGTTTTTATATTGGAAAAATAATTGAAATTGCATACAGATCACTAACCTAGGCTGTTAACAGAACATACAAATACCCCAATTTCCCTCTGTCTGTATATGTTCAAAATACACTGATGGTATCTTAACAGAATGCCAGAATAAGAGAAAAATAACAGAATAACAGAGCTTGGAGGTCTTATAGCCCAACCCTTTATTTATAGTCCAATATCACTTTACACAAATGGGCATCCAATCTCATCTTATAAACTCCCAGTGTTGGAGCATTCACAACTTCTGAAGGCAAGCCATTCCACTGATTAATTATTCTAACTCTCAGGAAATTTCTCCTCAGTTCTAGGTTGTTTCTCTCCTTGATTAGTTTCCATCCATTGAATCTTGCCCTACCTTCAGGTGTTTTGTAGAATAGACACACACACACACCCTCTTCTTTGCGGCAGCCCCTTAGAAATTAGAACATGTCCTTTCTTTCATTAAACTAGATATACCCAATTCCTGCAGCCGTTCTTTATATGCTTTAGCCTCCAGTCCCCTAATCATCATTGTTGCTCTTCTCTGCACTCTTTCTAGAGTCTCAACATCTTTCTTTTTTTCTGAAAAGTTTTATTGCTTTAATTAAACAAAAACACAAAAAAAGAATCATCCTTCATTACATCTTGTAGAAAGCGTGTCGATTGGTTACATATACATTTCATGCTTTTCTTCCACAATCATTATATATACTTCATTCAAATTGAATTGTACATTTTAAATCAAAAAAATTTATGTATTTTACTATCACTGTACCACAATTCTCATTTAATTGCAATTATTTAAACGTGCTTTTATCTGAAATCATTTGTATTTAAAGACACAACCACCACTGGCATTCATTTGCAATTTCAAGAAACCTCCAATAACATTACACCTTTATAACATATTCTGAAACATAATCAGTTAATAAGATATCTAAGCATTCCCCCCACTTTTTCTCCCAACTTACAATTTAAAGCTTATATGCAATTTGCTTTTACTAATACAACACACACACATACACACACACACACACACACAATTAAACATTATCCATTAACATTTCCTTGTTATTTATATTTATAGAAACCTCTCCTCTCATCAGGCCCAAAAGAAACTATACCTTTATAGCAAGATCTAAACAAGAATTTCTTAATAAAATTTATAGGTCTTTTCGCCAAGTCCCAATTTACAATTTATAACCAAGTTACTTATACTAATTGAGGTTATCATTTCATTATTGTTGTAGTTAATTATATGTTAACGAATAAACATTCAATGATAATCTAAAACAATCTACAAAATAATGAAATTCCTACTTATTGATCACCAAAAATTAACTAACTTTTTATCATCAACTTTCATTATCAACCTGTATCTTTCCAGTGACAAAACAATCTTATCTCTCTTGCCAGTTGTTGTGTCAATTCTCTTTTCAGCTCCTTTATAAAGTTTTTATAAACTTCTCTCACTTTATTGCTTAAAAGATCTCTCAAATAATCTTGTTGCCCTTGAATTGTTATTAACATCATCTTGTCTTTGGTTGTCAAACTTATTTCTGAAAAGGTTTC